GCTTAGTAAGCCGAGTTAAGGTAGACAGCTACACCAACGAGCGCTGCTACAATGCCCACCACCAGCACAGGGAGCGAGTCGCTGATAGGGAGAGGACAGGGACAGCGGGGGGATGGGGATAGGGAGAGGATGGGGAGGATGGGGATTGGGGGAAAACGGGGGGAAGGGGATAGGGAGAGGATGGGTACAGGGGAGGGATGGGGATAGGGAGAGGATGGGTACAGGGGAGGGATGGGGATAGGGAGAGGATGGGGAGGATGGGAATTGGGGGAAAACGGGGGAGGGGGAGTGTGAGGGTGGGAGAGCACGTGGGGGTGGGGGGAGGGAGAACAGTGCAGTGTGGGTGTGGGGATAAGGAGGAATGAGGAGGTAATCAGGAACAAGGGGTCAGGTAGCGTTTAGAGACGTCTCAAAACACTTCTTCAATCAGGTAGCAGGGAGGTAGAGGAAGAGAAGGGCACTGATGGGACAGCACAGGCATTAAGGTCTGAATTACGGTAGCACGATAATGATCAGAGCGGTACTGATGAGACCACAAGACAGGACGCCGCAGCAACGGGGGGAGCAGGGATGGAGGCGCGAAGCAGAGAGAGGATGGATTGGGGGAGAGGGACGGGGGACGGTGGGCAAGGGGAGAGGGGCAGGGACGGGGCGGCGGAGGGGGGGGGGGGGCAGTGGAGAGAGGGCAGGGAGAAGAGAAAGGAAAGGAAGGCGAGGAGGCAGGGAGGAAGAAGGGAAGGTTAGGATGGGGGCTGGTGAGGGAATGGAAGAGGGGTTGGGTGTATAGGGGGAGAGAAAGGAGGGTGGGCCTGAACCCCTCTTGATACCCGAAACCTGAACTTTTCTGCATAATTTGAGAGGCTTGTTTGACAGTTCTTCCATCCTCACTCCCTCCCCCACATTCCCCCACTTCTTCTGTCCTTGACAAGCTTTTTTCCTTTTCCCCCTCACCCCCTCGTCTCTCCCTCCCATCACTTCTTCCCCCTCCCCCCCTTTTCCTCCCCCCTCCCTCCCCTATCGACCCACCCCCTTGCGCCCCTTCCACACCGTCAGGTCGTGGGCGTTGCGCCCAGCTCAGTCCGTCCCCCATTCCCCCACTCCCCTCCGCCCCCCCTTCCCTCCCCTCCCCCCACACCCCCCCCAAATCACCCGCCGCCTCCCCCGCTCCGCAGCTGCGCCTTGCGCGCCTTCCGCGCCTTCCGCACTGCCAGGTCGTTGGAACCCCAGACGGGAGCCATAGTCTTTACGTGGCAGCAACTAGGTTCAATCCTTGTAAAAAATTGTTGTTAGTAAAAAGTTGGCGTTGGCGCCCAGTCCCCCACCTCACGCACCTGCCCCTTCCCCGTCCCTTCCGCGCATCCCCCATCCTCTCCCTCCCCCCATCCCCACCCCCCCACCTCGCGCCTGTCGACTCACCCGCCTCCGCCGCCCTGCAGCTCCGCCTTGCGCGCCTTCCGCACCGCCAGGTCGTTGGCGTTGCGCGCGACGGGCGCATTGTACGGCTTGAACCGCCGCTTGGGGGCGGAGCACACTGGCGGAAGGAGAACGGGGGGGAAGGCGGGGCCATGGGCAGGGTCGGGGGCGGGGACGGGGGCGGGATGTGGGGGAGAAACGACGGGAGAGGAGCGGGGAGGGAGGGGGGAGGGAGAGGGGCGAGAGCGATTAGAGGATGGAAGGGGCATGAGGGGGTGTGTGTTGAGTGGAAGGGGCATGAGGGGGTGTGTGTTGAGTGGAAGGGGCACGTCTTCAGTCCTTACATTTTCCGACTTGTTTCGGTTTGCGGAAGACGAAAGTACTGAAGAGAAGGGAACTCTCTCACAAGGGATTTAACAAGGGCGTTGCGGCGGCGAGAAGCGCACTATTTACCAGTCTTGTGTCACTTCTTGGTGTCTGAAAACGGAATTGCAACTTGCGACGACAGAAAAGCTTGGGCGACGGAGCACATTAGACGCGTTATTAATTCGCAGTATCGCGGGTAGACAGCTTCGGCAGCGGGAAAGGCGCTCAACACGGAACTCAAACCGCATACCTTGTGGTCATTATCGTGTATGCGATTGGTTAACTTCTGATTTGACTCGAAAAGGGCTGGAAACGCACCTGAAAATTCGCACAAAGCTCGCACCTGAGCACTAATGGAAGTCCTATTCTTTCGAGGCGCCTCACCTGGGCACTTGTACGTGTCTGGAAGCTTCTCGAAGGGCGAACGCGAGTTGTAGATGTACCTGCGGGAGCGAGGGAGACGCGCGCGCAGGGGGTGAGACAGGGAAGAGCGTGCAGAGGGGGGTAGGGGAAAGAGGAGTGGGGAAGGGGGAGGGGAGGGGGAGGGGGGGGGGGGTGGGTGTGGGATTGAGGGTTGGGGGTGGGGGGGGGGGGGGGGGGGGGGGAGGTTGACCCGCACGCGGGGAGGGAGGCAGGGACGCACGTGAAAGGAGTGGGAAACACGGATACGCGCATGCAGATAGTTTTTGTTTAAGACAATATTAAGCCAGCCCGGGGCGGCCCGGAAACAATGAAACGCAGGCGCTCACCCGCAGTCCCGGCAGATGTACGCGCTCGCCATAGTCACACGCGGCGGACCGGAGGCGCCGCCCGTTTGTGTCAACGGCGCCGCGCCAGACACGCTGACAGCCGCCGACGAGATCGGGCCGCGGGACGAGCGGAGCCCCACGCTGCCCGCGAGAAGGGGCGACGCGGATTTCGGCTTGGTGGCAGCGGGAGACGCGGCGGCGGCGACGGCGCGAGGAGCCGACGCGAGGGAGATTGCGCAAGCCATGGCTACTGCTATTGTTTTTAGTCAGCTCAAGAGAAAAACAGCGTGGGACCGGATGGAAGGAGGATGAGATGGGATGCGCTCCCGACGAGATGCGATGCGTGAGTACGAGAAGGTCCAGAAGGACAGCTGAGTCTGGCTGTGTAGGAGAATAGAGCGAAGCTGCCGTACGGTGGTCTGACTCTGCAATGTGGGAACGCGGCTCGCACAATGCAGCAGAATGGAGCGAAGCTGGCGTGCGGTAGCAGGCTGCTATTCTTCGTAAAACGTCGCAAACGGCTTGAAGCTTATTAATGCTTGGGTGTGTGCTTCTGGTGCTTCGCTTCAGCTTCTGGTTATGCCAGATTAGTTCTGTCATGCCAGCAGATTCTAAAACCAGGGATTCAGGACGCGCTCAAAAAAGCGTCCTGCACAGCAATACGAGTCCCAGATTTGTTCGTTAATGTATTATACATGTACACTGGCCGCTAAATACGATTACTACACCCGGCCTGATGTGGCATTCAGCTGTGATACTTGCTAAAACGTCGGCCTGAACACGCACCGGATGAGCACATTTTGAAATGGATGGGTGGATATGAGCGAAGGGTGAGAAATGCCCGACGGAAGCGCCTCTTCTAGATCGGACGGTCAATGATTCCAGATACTGGTTTGCACGGGTGAGTGGATTTGGATGTGAATGGATGACGAGGCGTGGTGACGGTGTGTGGCTGTCCAAATTTTGTCGACGTGGCTGGATTCGTCCACACGATCACCAGGATGACTAGATGACGCGTTGCAGGATGTCTGCTGGATCCATGTGGCATGTGCCTCACAGGTTCTTGATATTCAAGCAAAAAAAAGTTATTTGTATGTGATGGGAATGGATCTGAGATTCTACACTCACAGGTTCACAGGTTCGTAGCTTAAATTTGCTCTAGACAAACTTGTCAGTCAGTCGCATGCAGGATCCACAACCTGTCTAAGGACGCGGTAAGAGCGTGTAACTTTTTTGCATTTTGTGATTTTGACGTACCGTCCGATTATATGGAATCGGACGGTCCGTTTCGTTATCGGACGGTACGTTTATAACGAAACGGACCGTCCGATTTGAATGTTTGCAACTTCGGACGGTACGAATGCATATGTGACACTCTTTCCACATGCTAGGGTTCCGCGATGGTATTCCTTTCGCCATCTCAAATGTACACTAGTAACGCCAGTCACAACCCTTCGCAATTTTCGCCTGTGGAGTTCAGCGCTTCGGACATACAATTGAAAATTCCAAACATGCACAAAGGCCGTCGACACCAAACTCTTCGCAGTCAAAGGGTCACCACAACCCTCTATCTATATCAGAGACATCTCTCTGCACAAAAATATGTCGCGCCGCCACCTACTATCCGTACTACACCTCTTGTATAGAGGGTACCAACAGTTCGTTGTCGGACCAGGGGTCAACTACATTGCAGAGATTATCCTATTGCTCGATGACGAGGACCGCAACATCATGCAACGGGACCGTGAGAGTCAGAGGGAGAGGTGGGATTTTCTTCTTGGTGGAATGCCTCGTCGGGTTTTCATTGACACTTTCCGCGTTAACCGTGCTGTTTTCGACTACTTGGTAGACGCTTTGCACAGTAGGATCTGTGACCGCCAGCGCGTGTTACCTGTACAATCGTGCGTCGCAATGACGCTAGTTTATCTAGGCACAGGCGCAACGTTCCGCCAGCTCGGCCTGCAGTTTGGGGTCGTGCCGCAACATGCGCAGAGGATTGTGCAGGGCTTTATGGCGTTCATAGTGGACGAACTACTCCCTCTCTGGGTTTCTCACCCTTCCGCCGAGCAGATGGCAGCGATCGCCGAAGAGTTCCGGTACGAGGGCGGTATTCCAGGCGTCATAGGAGCTCTAGATGGGACTTATATTAAGTGCCGTGGCTTCGGGAGAGACAAGGAGGATTTCAAAAACAGGAAGGGTTTTTACTCCATAATCCTACAGATAGCTTGTGACTCTAACGGAATCATCTGGGACTACAATGCGGGATACCCCGGAAGCTTCAACGACTCCCGGGTGTTTACTAACTCCCCGCTCAAACAGCGCTTAGAGGCTGGCGAGTTGGGGAACTACATGTTAGTCACGGACGCTGCATACGCTCTCACAAGCTACACTTGTGTGCCTTGGCGCGCTACTCCCGGACGGTCTCTGCCACGTGCAAAAGACAAGTGGAATACACAACAATCGCGTCAGCATATGATAGTCGAACAAGTCAACGGGCGGCTCAAAGGCAAGTGGCACATACTCGACAGCCGGATGGAGTGCCACAGTGAGAGGGTGCAGCAGGTGGTGAGTGCCTGTGTGGCACTTCACAACATCGAACTGACGATCGGCAGCAGGGATCGCCTGGGCACACCGCCGGAGCGCTACCGATGGTGGCTCGAGGGGCCCGCGGCTACTCTTCGACTTACCGGCCCTGAGGTGCGCGGTTTCACGCCTCGTCTTCGGATGAAGAGGTGGACTGCGGCGATCTACGCCTCCTACTGCGCCGCTCATCCGCGTACCCGCGAAACACCTCCCGGGTTAGTGACTTGAATTCCTCCCACTTCGCATCCTGCCGTTTGTCAAAATGCTCCCGTAGTTCCCCTATCAACTCGGCAGTGCTTGACGGTTTCTTCGTGTCGACTGCTTTGCGGTCAACACCGCGTTTTGCGGCATTCTTCTTTTTGCCATCATTCTCGCCGTCTTGCTTGCGTGGGTACTGCCACCACGCATTCTTTGAACTCCCCTCCCCGCCATCAGACGTAGGGCGCGCTCCCCAAGTGATGCGCCGACCGCGGATAGAGATACCCGTCGTCGAACCTGACGGGACCGTTGCGCCGCTTGGGGAGCCGCCGTTGCTCGGAGCGATAGTGTCTGGCGAGAGTGGAGTCTCGGGGGAGGGACGAGACGGAGCGACGGCGCCGGCTTCACGACTGGGAGAGGCAGGCTCGGTAATGCGGCTGGTGGTGGGGGACGGCGTGGGTACGACGGGTGGGATATATGGCGAGACGGGAGCGGGAGGGCGGGGAGCGGTGACGCGCCGTGCGGCAGCAGTCTGCGAAGGGCTTGAAGTCGGCGATTGAGGCGTAGTTACCGTCGGTGTGGCGCGGGCGTTGTTGGCGGCCGGGGGAGCTGGACGCGCCGTCGCCATGCGGGCGGGAGCGATGCCGGTACCTGCAAGGACAGGGGGTATGGTGCTTGGGCGCTCACCCCAAAGGCGCTCGGCCAGATGGTACCAAGGCGGCAGGTTTGTGACGCGTCCCTCCCCAGATCGCCTTATACGGGCGTTGATGCGACGCCACTCCGCCTTTAGGCGGTTGAACTTCGCCTTGAGTGCCCCCTGGTCATGCCGCCACGTCGGGTTGCGCTCAAGGATATCCCGCTGGACCAAGGGGTACCAGGACCTTCCCTGCTGCCCGGTGCGTGCGCGGATCTGCGGGTCGAGATCCATGAACGTGGCCAGCACCTCGCACTCCTCCTCAGCGGTCCAGCGTGGCGAGTTTCTGGCAGTGGAGTGGCGAGAAGCAGCGGCAGTGGTGGTACTTGGCTCCGTTGGTTGCGCGGTGGGTTCCTCTTCAACCTCTCCTGGCGCGGCGTTGTCATCAAATGCGGCACCGAGTCCATAGTCATCGTCGGCGTCGTAGGAGGCAGAAGGGGAGGGGATTTGGTAAACCCAGTAGTTGGAAGGGGTGACGGAGGGAGTGGTAGAAGGAGCTGTCAGCGTGTTGGTCCGATCCCGTATCTGGGACTCTTGTGTTTCGGGAGCAGCTGTGGCAGGAGTGGTAGTATTGGTAGATCCCGGTGGATGGGAGTTGGGAGTGGTGTTGTCAGACTGGGTGTGTGGCGTGGGGTGGCGAGAGGGATCCATTGTGTAGTGTAGTGAGTTGTGAGTCAATGTCGTGGCTTCTTGTATTGTAGTGAGGCTAGTTGTGGTTCGACAATGTCAACTTTTGAATCTGAGCCGCATTTTCCAATGTTCTAGCGAGGCGGTCCGCTGAAATCCAAATTCGCCCGCCAATCGCGTGCGCGGACAAGCGGACAGTCCGTTTGTGTTTCGGACCGTCCGTTGTCAGTGTTTCGTGTCGTTGGAAAGTGGAAAAAGTGTCATGACGGTTCGTTCTTGTAGCGACGTCGCACACATCCTCGCGAAAAACTGCACGACATTAAACGATAATGGTAACCCTTCGCATCGACGTACGGTCCACGGTTCGTTCCGTCGGGTTCAAAAAAGTTACACACCATAAAAGTGCTAGATCGGGGGGAGATTGATCCTATCACCGCACTGAAACCTTGTTTTTTGCATACGTAAAGTACACAACCGTTTACAACAGAGCAAAAAAATGATCCTGAGGCGATCGATTCTCTACTTTTACCGCGTCCTGAGCCTGTGCATGTCACCATCAGCGACTATTTCGGCAATCTCAGGGCGAGTCGCACGACACCTATCATCCCTTAGCAAGGCATTTCGTCTCTGGTTGTGATTAGTTGCGAAGACTCATTCGAACCACATGTACAAGGGCGGGTCCAGCACGTATGTCTTCCGTACATTACAGTTCATTCAGTGCGGTAATTTGTATTGCGTCACGCTTCATAACGGTGAAATTTCAAAACCGCTGTGCACCATTTAATATCTTTTCAAACCCCGACGAATAAACTGTATAGGACCTGTAAACGTACGCGCTGGACCCGCCCTAACTGCTAAGGTATGCAAATTCGACCAAATTTCAAATCAAACTTTCGTGAATGACAAATGACTGGAGCATCAGCCACTCGTACTTTTGCATCAAACACAGATGGTAACCAGACCATCCTCGCCAGTCATCATTTGACGTTTATGATCGTCGCAACCACCTGGGGGCAGCAAAGAAATCTCTATCATCCTGTTCTATTTCGCCCCTGTGCTCGCTCGCACCCCCTGTCTCCCAAATTCCCTCACGAACTCCCCATCCATCTTAACATCTCAGCTCTAACTCAAATCAATAAAAGCACTGCTCATTAGCAGCTCCACTTTCTCCTGTTCCTCATTTCGGCGTCTCTTCACGATCAATCAGCCCATTTGTAGTTTCTCTCTCCGCAGCCGTTCCTGTGGTTCAATTCGGCGCGCGAGCATCGTCAAGGCGCGGCACGCTGAAACCCGACGCCAATGTCATCCGCTGTAGTTGATAACGCAAAAGGTCTCGCTCTCGCGTCACAATCTTCACAAATTTCAGCGTCGAATCTTCTGCACAGCCCCGTCGGAAAATCAGGACCTGTCTTCGGCGAGTTGACGGCCGTCAACTGGCGGAAATGGGCGGCTAGCCGGCTACAGCAGACGGAGCAGCCGCAGCAGCCGTCTGACGCTACCACTGCTCGCGCCGAGCAGAACTTCGAGGCGCGACACCTTGCCAGATTGCCATACGCGCCGTTAGTAGCCGATCCGTCAACTCACTTTCCGCCACAAGACACGTCAGCAGTCGTTAATCCGCTTACGCCTCATGCCCGCGAAGCTCGCGGAAGTTACGCTCCCAAAAATCACGGCACCTTCCAAAATGACCAGAGCGCCCCCCCTCTGTGTAAGCGCACAGGCGAGGCGCTTTCCGGCTGCAGTGCCACGTGGCAGCCTCTCCTTCCAGGGCTACCGGACGACGTGGCGGAGTTGTGCCTCATCCGGCTTCCGCGAGCGTTCCTACAGCAATGCAGGTACGGCATGCGTGCGTGTGTGTGTTCGGTCGATCAGCCTTAAGTTTAGAATGAGAGGGCGATCGTGTGTGCAGGGATGGGTGGGTTGGTGGGTAGGTGCGTTTGTGAGAGGGTTCTGTTTCCGTAACTTCGGTACGAACCCGAGCTGCACCTTCGTTTAGGAAGGGCAGGGGACGATGTTCGTTGCTGCATACCTGCGCCTTCTTGCTCGTCGTCTCCTCCCCCTCCTCCTCCCCGTTTCCCATCACCTCTTCCCTAAAGTCTGTCGTTTCGTTTGATGGAGACGTTTCCAGGCCGCACACGCTGCCTGTGCTTATCCCTTCATTTTTTAGGCGCCTCAAAAGGCGCCTCAAAAGTCGCCTCAAAAGGCGCCTCAAAAAAAGGCCGCACACACTGCCTCATTTTGAACGACGATGAGGCAGGAGCGAAACGACGATGAGCTTATCCCTTCATTTTCCCTCCTGCCTCATCGTCGTTTCGCTCCAGTCCCCTCATTCGTCCCCCGCTGCTGTCTCATCACCTTTTCCTTTATCTCCAGGCAAGTAAACCGGGCGTGGAAAGAGTTTCTAGACAGCCCGCGCTGCCTCCGCCTTCGAACAGCAGCCAATCGCCTCGAGCCGTGGCTGTTCGTCCGGGCAGTCGGGCAGCCGAGAAAACATTTCGAGTGGCACGCGTTCGCAGAGAGCGCTGGTTGGCAGAAGATCCCATACCCACGTGGCACCGGCCAATGGGAAGCCTCGGGAGTGGGTTGTGTGGGCCTTGACAGGTGTCTCTACATGATTGGAGGAACAGGGTCTGACCGCAAAAATCCATTGGGTGATACTTTCAGGTGAGGGGCAAAGTAAAGGTATTGCACCAATCAGGTGTGATTCGTGTGTGCGTGTTTGGGCTCTCAACAAAAAGCTGAGGCCATGCCTGGGTTTTAAGTAGAGACATTGCTCTCTTAATCATGTATGTTGACTTGGTTTGCGTGCAATGCATTACGCCCTATGTGCTTCTTGCTTCCCATTCAGCTTTTTGGCCACTGAATTATGCTGTGACACCCTCCCCTCCCCCGTCTTTGCTTGTTCTTTATTCTTTTTTTCTCCTTTTTATTTTCGGCATTGTTTCCTATGTGCCGTAGCGCCCCTGCCATGCGTTGCAACTCTTGTATTCTATTCGTCCCCCCATCCCCCCCCTCCCTCCTCCCCACCCCATCCGCCCTCCCCCCCTTTTTATCGTCAATTTCAGGTACGACCCTCGAACTGCCCGCTGGACCCAGTTGGCCAATCTCATCACTCCTCGCAGATTTTTTGGCTCATGGGCTACCCAGGGAAAAATAATAGTGGCCGGAGGCAATGCATCAGAGCTTGAGGAAATCCAATCAGCCGAAATGTACCAACCAGAGACTGACACGTGGCAGTCCATCCCACCGCTGCCTTTGGCGTTTTCCAGCTTTGGGGTGGCGTGTTTTGGCGGGACTCTCTTTTTGACGGAGGGGTGGCAGTGGCCGTTTCACTTCTCACCCCGTGGGTTCTCCTGTCCCCTTTATAAGCTCGTCCAGGAAAAGGAAAGGGAGGGGCTTACGGGACCAAGAAGACACGGGGGTGCTTTGATTGGCCGGGGGCCGGGAGAAGGAGAGGGACGAGGAGGAGAGGGGGGAGGTGGAGGTGGTGGAGAAGCAAGCAGTGCAGGAGAGAACATCGGACCAGAGGGCCTGGGGGAGGGACAGGGTGGAGCGGAGAGGCAAGGCGTGAGGCAAGGCGTGGGACAAGGCATGGGACAAGGCGTGGGGCGGAGTGGCATTTCAGCAGTGTGGGAGCCGATGCCTGAAGGCATGGCAGAGGGATGGACAGGAGTATGTGCAGTGGTGCATGAGACGCTAGTCACCCTCGTGCAGGAGGGGAATACTCGCAGGTGCGCGCTGATGGCATGTGGGGTGGTGGTGTGCGGTGATGTGTTGTGCCTAATGGTGCGTTGATTCATGGCACCTGCGTGGGTGCTGTGCTGTGCTGGGCTGGGTGGTGGCTTGTGAGGTTTGTTGTAGGGTGAGAGCATGGGCAGGAGGGGATGCCATTGCTGTGCTCCCAGCCGCTGTGGAAGCTGACTTTTGGGTCGACTCAAAAGTCAGCCCGTGCTGGGTGCTGGCTTGTGATGTGTGTTGTTGGGTGAGAGCATGGGGGGGAGGGGATGCCATTGTGCAAGTCATGGCACGTTTGTCTCTCTCATGGGCCGACTTTGAGGTGAAGAGTGGGTTTGCTATTCCTTTCACAATGATCTGCCCGTTTGTTTGGGATTTTGTCCTCTCCATCACACCCCCCCATGTATTTGTTCTTCCTCATCTCACTTCTCTGCATACCTTCCCACATCTCCTTTTCCCCTTTCTTTGTTCCCCCATTCATCCCATACTCCCTTTGCCCCTTTGCTGCCAGGCTCTTTTCCTACTGCCCGGATACCGACAAGTGGCAGCTTGTCATTGGCCCTCCTTTACCCCTCTTCCTCCGCACACCCCTGCGCATGGCCGCGGATGGTAACAATCGTCTTTTTGTGGTAGGCCGGGGTTTGGAGGTGGTGATGGGGACGATAAGCAAGGAAGGTTTGCCGGGAATGTGCAGGAAGGGCAGGAGTTGGTTGGATGGAGAGCAGGAGGATTGCCCTAAATTAGGCAGTGAAGATTGTGAGGTTGAGCTAGTTGAACAAGGGGGACAAAAGGCAAGTAACAATGCATACAAAATGCGAGAGCTCCGGGTTGAATGGTCGCAGCTGGGAGGAGATTTGTCCCTTTCCAAGCTTGTTCCGGATGCTCTTGTTGTGGTGGTGATGTAAATATATGTGCAGGTTTCACAACATGGCAAGGATGGAATTCTTAAGCGTTTGCAGACAGAGTCTATGTCGAGTATATTAGGTTTTGGTTGGGTGGCGCCCTGTCGTGTGGCTAGCCTGGTTTGGAAATGCGGTACGGAAGCCTAACCTGAGTCCTGACGGCAAAACAAGCAACAAACCGACACGGCAGAAGAAGCAGCAATTGCCCTGCAGCTTACCGTGCCAGCCAGGGGCGTGTCGCGTCGCGCGCCACACGCGTAGAATCATCTCCGCCCCGCCACCATACAATTCGCCAAGCTGTAGGCTACTGATTTGCCAGGAGTGTCACGGAAACGTCAACTCTTATAATGGACAAACTGCAAGCCGACAGGCGCGCCGTTCAAACAAGCTTGAGGGAACATGTTTCAGGCAGCTCTACAGCGCCACATCCACTATCTCATTGATGCAGGTCACACCACTACCATTCGTTGCCACGGGAAAATGTGATACAGTGGTTGGGGTGTGACTTGGGCAGCGTCTCAGAAAGTAACCTACTGTACATGCTTGACACATCGCTGTGTCCCACTCTGTGACATCCACGTCACACACACTCACGCTGCCCGTGACAAACATAATCCGAGCCCTGTCAATGGCATGGCGGCAATTTAGCAATTTTGGCTGATAAAGGGTCTGGGGTTCCGATTCTTTTCCAAGTCGCTGCCCAGAACAAAAACTTTTTTGATTCAACACGCTACGCTACTTCACCGCCGCCACCTCTTCCTGCTCCTCTCCTTCAGTCGGGACTCGGGTCACAATTTTCACGGTGGACCTGCCGTTTCGAAACGTCGCGGCGGGCAAGCGAAAACGCGTGCGAAGTCACTCATCCATCCACCGACGAAATTCTGAACCACCCCAGAAGGAGAGAAATCTGCGCTTCGACCAATCAGGCTCCGAACGACAGTCTGTCAAACTGCAACTACAAATCCCTTCAATCTCCCTTGTCCTTCAGAAGTTTCAAGTCTTCCCCCTTCCAAGTTCCAAATCGTTTCATCTCACGGGTACTCCTCCCTCACATCCATTCTAGCGAAGGGAGAAGCTTTTCACCTACATTCCTCTCCAGTTGTATGTGCTCTCCGACATCATTTTCTTGAGCTTTTGTCTCATTTCCGCAGCTCCATACCCTAGTCTCCGCCGTCCATCTCCATCGCTAACCGCATTCCCCGCCCACGCTCCACTGCCCATTCCGCATCACTCGCTACCATCGTAAAGAAACCACATCGTCACCACTCCATCATGGGTGCTACCGAGGCTGCTATCCAGCAGACCGTTGCCGTTTCCGCCACGGCATCGGAGCCTTGGGAAGACGCGATGCGGGCAGAGCTCGCCGCGTGGTTCCAAATCCCCGATTGGGTCGACGAGACGCCGTCAATGACGGTTTCCGTCGGATCTAACGCCCTCTGTCAACTCGACGGAGTCGCGACCGTCGGCCTTCCGCCGGATGCCGTCTTCTCCATCGTGTGCGACCCGCACAACAGCCGCGTATTTAAGAACATCAAGTCCGTTAAGAACGAGCGGGTCATTAGTGACAATAACGGGGTGAAGGAGCTCGAGATGGATATGGTTTTCGCCTTCCAGCTGCCGTTCTTTACAGGCACATTCGATGCGCACATGCGCATGGTCCACGACCGTCCGAACCGCAAAATGTCCTTCGAACTAACGCGCCCCGGCCTCATGCGCAAGTTCGAGGGCTTCTGGCAGGTCGAGCCGCTCGTAGTCCCCGCTTCCGCAACTTCCGCCTCCGCCGCCTCCGCCGCCTCCGCCACCTCCGCCACTTCCTCCATTTCCGCAACTTCCTCCGCTTCCGCCGATTCCGACACTGCTTCCGCTCCGTCTTCCCCGCTCTCCGATGCCTTCCATCCCGCCAGCGATTGGGACAGCAGCAGCGCATGCAGCAGCCCGGAGCGCGATGTCGCCGCAGATTCCGCCGCAGATCTCGCTGCAAAGACGACGAAGACGAGCGCGACGACTTCGTCCGACGGCGCGCGCGTGGCGTCGCGGCTCGTGCTGCATCAGGTGGTGCAGCCGTCCGTCGCGCCACCCGACCTTTTCAAACGGTGCATCCACATCGTTCTGCAGATGGCTACTAAAGACGTTCTTAAAGTTTTCCAGCGCGAAGCCGCCGCGATTAGGAACAGCAAGGGGCAGGAGCAGGAGATGCAGGGAGGAGAGAACAAGAAGAAGCAAGGAGCTGACGTAAAGGCAGCTGCTGCTGCGGGGGCCATGGCTGGCGCGGTTGCCGGCGCGGTTGCGGGAGCTGCTGCTGGCGTCGCCGTCGCGAAGAACGCGGAATCCATCTGGCTCGCATCGCGCGTCTATAAACTCGTGAAGGGCAAGGCTTAAGCGATGAGACTTGCTGCCGCTGCGGATCTCCTGGGTGCACGAAACGCGCGCCGACGCCATTTGAGAAAATGCCGGTGACTCTTGTTTCGGAGTTCCTGCACAGATGTAAAAATAGGGTGGCCTAGGGTAACGGCAGGTGATAGTGCTATATAGCTGGGTTAGGTTTGGTTTGGTTGGGTTTGTGCATAAGGTTGAGTAGGGTTCAATGCTTTGGGATGCCCCTAGATAGAATGGCACCCCAAACCTTTGAACCTTGACCTCTGAACTTATGAAGCATTTCCTAGCACCCTTCTAGTTATCCACTCCACTGTTGAACTGTTATCCCAACTAGATCACTTCCGAAGTTATCAATTGTACATTTCTTGTCTTTCCTAACATGCTGGATTTCTGCAGTACCTCTCTATACTAAGCATTTTACACAACACTGGAAGCTGTATCCGTAGAATCACTATACCTCTAATGTTGCCCCGAATTAGGAAGCCTTACTCATGAGTCATATCATACCGCTCTACCCTAGCCCGTTCAACACAGATGGCCTTTCCCAAACCACACCCCACCATCATTCTCCACTATCAGCCGCTCTCCACCATTCTCAATTTGGGGTGGTTGAAGCTCATGGCAACAGCACAGTTGGAGGGACCTATGCGAGAGAGCAGAGAGAAACTAGTAGTCGTCCCAACTCCCTTGGTCATACCTCTCTACCTCCCCCCACCACTCGTGAGCGCTCTCCACCAATCTCCACCGCTCTCAACCCAAGGCAACAAGCACCTTGTTGAGGCTTATGGAGAAGCAGAGCAGATTATGAAATCGAGGCGGGAGAGCAGGCGCAGGTCAGCCACCCCCAGCTTGTACTTCTCCCCTTGAACCATGCACCCATACGTCCATGCCCCCATGCACCCATGCTCCCATGCACACATCCCATGCTCCCATGCACCCATGCTCCCATGCACCCATCCCATGCTCCCATGCTCCCATGCACCCATGTACCCATGCTCCCATGCCCCCATATCCTTACCCGAACCCGTCCCTTGTTCCCCACCGCTCTCTGCCCAACCAGCCCAAATGCCAACGATGCACCTTCTGCTCCTCCTCCTCCTGCTCCCCTTCCTCAAGCTGCTGTCATCACCCCAGAGCAGCAAGTGCCTTGTTGAGGCGGTTGAGGCTCGTGGCGACAGCGCGGTTGGAAGGGTCAAGGCGGGAGAGCAGGCGCAGGTCAGCCACCCCTCATCCTTCCCCTACCACACCCCATATCCTCTTAATCCCCTCCTCCTCCTCCTGCTCCTCCTGCTGTCATCACCCCAGAGCAGCAAGTGCCTTATTGAGGCGGTTGAGGCTCGTGGCAACGGCACGGTTGGAGGGGTCGAGGCGGGAGAGCAGGCGCAGGTCTGCCACGCCCAGCTTGTACTTCTCCATCGCCTCGTACAGGCATGCTCGCTGCATCAGCACTGCTGTGTTTTCAGGCTCGAGATCGAGCACCTGAGGAAGGGAGCGAGTGAGAAGAGGAGAGTGAAGAGGGGGGTTAGTGGGTAAGGGTCTTGAAGGGAGAGCAGGAGCAGGTCTGCCATCCCCAGCTTGTAGTAAGTTGACTTTTGAGTCGACTCAAAAGTCATCTTGAAAGGAGAGCAGGCGCAGGTCTGCCATCCCCAGCTTGTACTTCTCCAATGCCTCGTACAGACACGCTCGCTGCATCAGCACAGCTGTGTTCTCTGGCTCGAGCACCTGAGTGATTTGAAGGGCAGCAAGAGGTGGAGTAGTCGATAAGAGGCGCCGCAGAGAAAAAGGAGCGTACCGTTGCAACTGGGGGGAACTGAGAACTTGGCCCATTGCAACTGGGGGGAACTGAGAACTTGGCCCATTGCAACTGGGGGGAACTGAGAACTTGGCCCATCCTTCTCCGTTCTCAGTTCTCCTTTCCTCTCTCCCTTCTCCCCTTCCCTTCCCATCCCACTACTCACCTTGCTGTAGCCAGCAACGTCTTTTTTCATTCCCCTGCTTCCTTGCAGTCAGCACCGCCCTGTCCTGTCCTTCAATCAATAATGCCCCTATCCCCCTTCAACCCCCACACCGACTCACCTTGCTGCAGTCAGCAACGGCCTTCTAAAATTTCCCTGCCTCCTTGTAACATGGCCGCGCAGTCAGCACAGCCACCAGCAATCCCTCCCCCCTGTGCCTAGAAAGTCCACTCGCAACTTGCCCCCCTTATCAAACTCACCTTGCTGCAGTCAGCAACGGCTTTCTTCATCTCGCCAGCTTCCTTGTAGCACGATGCCTGCGCACTCAGCAGCACAGCCACCAGCCCCCCCCCCCCGTCCGCCCCCCCCCCTCTCTCCGCCAGCTGCTCCGCCCGCACCAGCCACTTGATCGCGTCCGCAAACTGTTCCCCATCCCACACTCACCTTGCTGCAGTTCTCTCCTTTGCTCCCGTTCTTTCTGAACCTTCCAACCGCACCCCACTCCTTACCTTGCTGCAGTCAGCAACAGCCTTCTTCATCTCGCCAGCCTCCTTGTAGAACGACGCCCGTGCAGTCAACACCCTGACTCACCTTGCTGCACTCAATGCTGGGTGCCCCGCCCTTACGCGTACTCACTCACCTTGCTACAATCTGCAACGGCTTTCTTCATCTCGCCAGCCTCCTTGTAACATGAAGCGCGGGCAGTCAGCACAGCCACCAGGCCCCCCCCGTCCGCTTGCCCCCCTCTCTCCGCCAGCTGCTCCGCCCACACCAGCCACTTGATCGCGTCCGCAAACTGCCCCCCTTTGTAGAACTCCGTCCCCTTATTGAGCGCTGCATTATAAGTGACTCCCGCTGGCGGCGGCCCGATGCCGTCTAGCTCTACAGTGGTTTCCATGGAGGCGGAAGCAGAAGCGTCCCCGAAGCTTCCCCAATCACCGGCGTCTTGGTTCCCAAAATCAACACCACCTGCGCTCGCCCCAAAGAAACTGCTGCTGCTGTCACTGCTGGCCGCTGCAAAACCACCAGCAGCAGAGCTAGCACCAGCACCAGCACCAGCACCAGAGCCACCAGCAGCAGCAGTGGGCTTAGGGTTGAAAAGCATGTCTACGAGAGGGTCAAATGACCCTGCCGCAGCAGCAGATGGCTGGGAGCTGCTGGGGGGTTGTGAACTCCCGAAGTTGGATGAGAAGGCGGCGAACGGATCAGCGGCGGCGGCGGCGGCAGAAGCAGCAGAGGCAGCAGGAGGGGGAGCAGCAGAGGAGGCAGCGGTGCGTGGGGCAGGGAACGAGGCGGAGAAGTTTGCAAACGGGTCTGCTGCAGACGCGGATGAGGCTCTAGATCCCCCCCCTGCCATGCCACCACTGCTGCTGCTGCTGCTACTGTTCATGTTGCCAGTGTTACCACCTCCGCTGCCACTGCTACTGGTGGCGGTGGCGAATGGGTCCGGCCAGGAAGCAGCAAACGGATCAGCAGAGGCAGCAGAGGAAGCAGAAGTGGCAGCAGACGCGGCAGATGGGGCAGAGGCGCGCAGTGAAGGGCCTCCAACGCCGCTGCCCCTCATGGGCTGACCGCCTAACCCACCACCACCGCCACCACCACCGCCACTGCCAATCCCACCACCCATTCCGAATCCTGCACCTCCACTTGCTCCCGCTCCGGATCCTAATCCTGATCCTATACCAAATCCACTGCCTGCCCCACCTGCTCCTCCTGACAAGCCAGCTTTGGGAACGGAGCTCCGTAAATCGCCCATACCAAACGGATCAAACCCTCCCCCTCCCCCTCCCCCTCCCGCTCCACTTCCCCCAAATCTATCTCCCCCAGATGCCCCTCCCGCGCTGTCCCTGGCGGCGCCTCCATACGCTGACGTGGACGATGACGTGGACGCCCCGAGTCGCGCGGAGGCAGTGGCGCTGCTCCACAGGCTGGCAAACACGTCATCCGCCTTGCTGGCAGATGCTGCTGCTGCTGACGCACCAGATGACGACAGGGAGGAGTTTAGAGGCTTGGCGTTCATTCCCCCCATTCCCATTCTCATCCCCATCCCCCCATATCCGCTTCCCCCACTCCCCCCGCTGCCAATCCCGGACTGCCCCAGAGGGACCCAGCTGGGCCCTCCCCCACTTCCCCCTTGCCTCTGCGCCTGCCCCTGCGCCTGCCCCTGCGCATAGGAGCTGGCGGAGGCGGGGGGCGCGCGCGCTGCTCCCCCTCCCCCTCCGCCTGTGGACCACGAGGTGGCGCCCTGCGCGTAGCCGCCTCCCGCGCCTGGTCGCCCTCCACCACCCTGAGGGGACGGGGGAAAGATTGGGCGGAGGGTGCGGAGGGGGCCGAGGTGGCGGAGGGGGGCGAGAAAAGGGGGGAAGGGGGGTGGAGGAGCGCGGAGGAGGCACAGAGCAGGAGAAACGGGGGGTGAGCGGAACAGGCGAGAGAGATGCTCGAAGACAGGTGAGTGCTACAGTCAATAAACAATCTCCCATACGGGGAACGCTCAAAGTTGGTGCAATGCAATGCATCATCATGCTGCATCACTTTGCACAGTTTTGGACCGTTTTGAACCGTTTTGCTCAAAATGAATCACCGACGGCGCTGGGATCACTTGAAATGCCCACAGACCCATTTTTTTGTTTGGTTTCTTTCTTAGCTGTTTTTTTTCTGTGTCTGTGCGTTTCGATTTCCCAAATTTTGCATGATTTTGACTCACTCACCAAACCGAGTTGGACCACTGCTGCTGATACTAGTTCTGGTTACCAGTGATCAGGTTACCAGTGATCAAGTTACCAGTCTCCGTATTACCAAAGACCATTACTAATTTGCTCTGCGGTTGCTTGACTCACCAAACTACCGCCGAGCTTCTGGTCCTTGAGACTGCCGCCTCCCGCCCGCTCCCAATCGACCTCCTCTGAGCGACTTCCAGTGGTGACGATGAAGCAGAAAAGAACAAGCAATGCAACACCGACCAAGTTACTGACTCACCGCCAAGCCTCCGCCGAGCTTCTGGTCCTTGAGACTGCCACCTCCCGCGCCCAAGCGACCCCCTCCACCTCCGATGCCGGATCCAGACGACACCCCCAGATCGAAGTCGAATTGGAAATTCTGAAAACGCGGATGCAGAGTGGAATCGAAGTTTGCGAGGTCAAGCAGAACCGGGGAGATGAACACGCGAAGGGACATGAATCGACAGGAGAACTTACGCGAGGCCTGAGTACATGACGTGGCAACCGTCCCACATACTTGGGATCGAGTAAGCGAATTCCCAATGAGATTATGAACCAGGGTGTAAGCGTGCGCGGTATGTTACGATTCAGCGCGGTATGAACCACGTATGCGCGACATGCATGGACTTCAAAATAGTCTGACAATGTGTGCACTCCCATACGGTCGGTCTACGTTGTGACAAATGCTATTTGTCTGTGCAAGTCCCGCAAATTTTAGACAATTGAAGAACGATCAAAACAACGACTGTCGAGCTCCCACTCAGCTTGCAACTGCCTTGCCACCTGAACGAGGCGACTTTTGCGTGACTCAAAAGACAACTGAAGCGAGCGTCGCACCTTGAAAGTCGTCGCCGCATTGACCATGTTGGCCTTGCGGCTGTCGTTCGCACCGCCGTTCATGCCGGGAACCACGCACCGTCCGCCCGAGCCCAAGTGCCCGGCGACCAAGCACTGCCCTTCTCAACCAGTTTCAACTAGTTCCAATCGGTATCAGCCGGTCTCAACCTAGAGGACGCAGAGGAAACCAAAAGGTGTTGGCGACTAATCACGGTCCGCCTTAATCTCTGGTGTCAGGCACCTACGGACAGCCTTGATGAAATGGAGGAGGCGAAACTCTGCAGAAACCTAAGCACAGGCGTGCTTGACAGAAGCCGAACAAAACAGATTTACGCAACCAGTGGAACCAGCTCGCCACAGCAGGAAGGTTGAGCCGCAAATAGTAGATCGCTAAGGTAGGTAGCTACTAGGATGGTAGGTAGGTAGGTACTACTGTCCTAAAATGTTCCAGAATGATGGGAAATGATTGAGATGCAGGATTCAACTCGCAACATTTGAGTCGCCTCGTCACACACGGCGAAAGAGACTGGCGAGCAATAGTAACCACGCCGGTCAAGTTCGTCAGTTGGCTTCTTTGGTCCTCGGTGTGACTCTGTCGAAATCGCAGAACAATTCAGACCCACCTAGTAGGTTGGCAATAGCGAGGGCTCACAACGACCAGGCAGCCAAACCGCAACCGTGAACACGGCATAATGTGCCACTAGAGGAAATTGTTTGAAATATGTTGATATCTGGATGGAAAAGCTGTAGAAGTACGAGAAATAAGCTGTTACTCCACATTTCTTCCTCTTCTGATTGATATCTGGATGGACAAGCATGCAGAATAGGTAAACATGCAATGCAGTTAACAATTGTTACAAGCAGTTTATGTGTATCCATACAACAATCTTCCTGTCTGTAGCCTTAAGTACAACGCCAACTAAGACCGAGACAAGAGGGGAGAAGCACTAATGAAGTACAACCCGCCCAAGTCGCAATTGCAAGCTACATTTGGCGCCCCAAACAAAAATGCACTACTAGCGTGTGCTGCGATCACACAGTCCCCTATCGGTGGACAAATGCAATTCTAATGAAATCTAGACGGATAATGGAAGTGAGGTGAAGGTGAAGGTGTTGGCGGCTGTGGCTGTGCCAGCCAGCTGGCAAAGCTGGCAACCCAACTGACGTGAACGGCAAATCCAGCTTACGGGCACGAATATATGCAATTCCAGCTGGCAACTTGGCAAGGCAAGTGTGTGGGACTTCACAGGACCCCTTGAAGGAATATTGAAGCCAATAACTATCCGTCAGACTAGGGCCAGTGCCACTGCACCCCATACTGAGTTTTGAGTCGACTCAAAAGTCAGACCAGGGTCAGTGCCACTGCACCCTAGGCTGACTATTCTTGGCTGATAAGATACCAGTGCAGATGCTGCTGCTGCCCGCATGCCGTCACCCCTGTTGCTGCAGCCCACTCTTCCCTCTGAACAATCCCTTTCCCTTACACTGCCATCACTAATCCCTGTGCCCAGCTGCCTGCCGTCTCCTGTCTATGCCTCCCTGCCATCACTGCTGTTCACTGGGCACATCTGCCTGCCGTGTACCTGCCAGCCTGCCGTGTACCTGCCAGCCTGCCGTGTGCCTGCCAGCCTGCCGTGTGCCTGCCAGCCTGCCGTGTACCTGCCAGCCTGCCGTGTGCCTGCCAGCCTGCCGTGTGCCTGCCTGCTTGTATGCCTGCCTGCCATCATCCCTGCTGCTGCAACCCGCTCTTTCCTCTAAACAACCCCTTGAGCAACCCTCTCTTTTTCTCAGATGACGATCTCCTCTCGTCTCCCTCCCCTCTCGGCGACTGGCCCCCATCTACACCCGCTCCTCCCCCTCCTCCTCCCCCTCCTCCTGCTCCCGCTCCTCCCCCTAAGTTACTCGGCAACGACCCTTGCCGTAGCGCTTGATTCCCCCCCACTCCTCCCCCCCCGGCCCCCCCCACGCCAGCAGCAGCAGACATCTTCCTCCCCCCATCCTGCGCCACCACCTCACTCTGAATCGACCAGCTCGCCCGCTCCCCCTGCGCCGCTCCCCCCAGCGCCCCCACCCTCCCCACTCCGCCCCCCACTCTCCCCGACCCTCCCCCCGCTCCCCCTGCCCCCACACCCCCATCTACATCTGGCTCCAGGAGAAAACCCAGGACCTCTGCCACATAATCATCGGGGATTTCATCTACCACGTCACTGCCGGCCGAGCCCAGGTTCACATACTTGCCGTTCTTGCACAGCAGGGCGGCTTTCATCGTCGCTTTCTGATACGGCTCGCTGTCGCCGGCCAGGCAGAGCACGGGCATGGGGAGGGAGCCGAGGAGGGCGGCGTGGTCGACCACCGCCATGGCTCGGGTCAGCCAGGGGCGGCGTTCATACGTCTGTAGCATGTCTATGAGTGTGCGCACCTGGTGGGGAGGGAAGTGAGGGGGTTGGGAGGAGCAGGGCTTGGGCAGGGCATGTGCATGGGTCAGACACAGCAGCAGGGGCATTGGGAGCAGAGAGCAACAGCACGGGCAGGGAACACAGCAGGGCGGCATGATCTACCACGGCCATGGCTCATGTGAGCCACACGCGACGTTTGTAGGTCTGTAGCATATCTATCAGCGTGCGCACCTGGTGGTGCTGTAGGGGGGAAGGAGGGCCAGGGGTCAGAGGAGGGAAAGGGGTCAGAGGAGGGAAAGGGGTCAGAGGAGGGAAAGGGGTCAGAGGAGGGAAAGGGGTCAGACACAGCAGCAGGTGCATGGGGAGGAAGAGAGCAGCAGGCAGGGAGGGTGCAGCACGGGCATGGGCAGTGAGCGCAGGAGGGCGTTTTGATGCACTACTTTTGAGGCGCCTCAAAAGCCCAGGAGGGTGCTTCGATGCACTCCTTGTACCATAGCAGTAGTGTAATCCACTACTGCCATGGCTCGAGTCAGCCAGGGGCGTCGTCGATGCTCATAAGCCCCATAGTGTGCGCACCTGGTGGGGGGGGGAGGGGGAGGAGAAGGGGCATGGCATGCGCAGGGGTGAGACAGAGGGCAGAGCACGGGCATGGGGAGCGAGCCCAGGAGGGCGATGTGATCCACTTCTGCCATGGCTCGAGTCAGCCAGGGGCGTCGCTCGTAGGTCTGTAGCATGTCTTTCAGCGTGCGCACCTGGTGGGGTGGGGGGATGGGGAGAAGGTGGACAGGGGGAGCGGCAGAGAGAGCACAAAAATGGGGAGGTTGCCCAGGAGGGCGTTGTGATCCACTACGGCCATGGCTCGAGCCAACCAGGGGCGGCGCACGTGGGTCTGTAGCATGCCTATCAGTGTGCGTGCGCACCTGATGGGGGCGGGGGGAAGGAAACGGAGAAGGTTGGTCAGTCAGAGAGCAGCAGCAGGCAGAGCACAGGCATGGGCAGGGAGCGGAGGAGAGCATGGTGATATACCACAGAGAGTGGAGAGGGGCAGGGGACGGGGACAGGGAGGGGTGGGGAGTGGGGAGGGGAGGGGGGGTGGGGAGGGGAGTGGGCGAGGGGGACAGGGAGGGGAGGGGTCACGGTCAGCAAGGGAAAGGGGTGGGGACACAGCAGCAGGGGCTGGCTTCCATACAGTGCCCTGCAGACCCTTGAAGGCCTCAGAAGGCTTTTGAGACGCGTCAGACAGATGCGACACAGGAGAGTCATCTGTCTGACGCGCTCCTAGTGACAGTCTGCTTTGGGACTCTACCCTCAATGCATCCACTCATCCCGTGAATTCCAGCTCCATGCTCGTCGCCTCACTTAGCTGGCCCGCTTCACCCTCACCTGCTTGCCTCGCCACAGCTCCCCACCGCACCCCACCGCACCGCACAGCACCGCTCCATGAACCCCAGCATCGGCACACCCCACAGAACCACTCCATGTAGCCCTGGTCACCCACCCCACTCCATGCACCCAGCTCGCCTTCAGCTGCTTGGCTCACCGCACTGCACCCATCAATCAACCCCAAAGCATCTTGAGTAGCCAGGGCACGGGGTAGGGGTATCTCCTCTCGAGCAACGACGCCACAGTGCCACAGCACCCCACAGCACCGTACCCCACATTGAGCTGCTTCTCACCTTGAGCTGCCAGGGCACGGGGTACGGGTATCTCTTTTCCAGAAACGTGGCCACAGTGCCCTCCAAGTCCCCATCGTAATCAGGCGGTTCTTCTCTCAGCACGTCCCCTCGCTCCATGAAGCCCAGCATGGGCACGCCCCACAGCACCACCCGCCGCACCACCTGCGGTAAATCAGAGGCAATTTGCAGCGCCACTGTCGCCCCTGTCTGGTGCCCGATCTGCGGGGATGGGATGGCGGTACATGGAGGTGGGGCGCGTGCGGGAAACGACAGGAAAAAAAGGAGTAGAGAGGGGTGGGAAGCGGTGAGAAGGGTTGCAGCACGTGAGAGAAGGCCCCCTTAATCGCTCCATGAAGCCCAGCATGGGCACGCCCCACAGCACCACCCTCCGCACCACCTGGGGGAGGTCGGATCAGATTTGCAGCGCCACTGTCGCTCCCGTTTGATGCCCGATCTGTTGGAGAAGTGGGGTGGGGACAGGCTATAGACCGGGGGACAGGCTATAGACCGGGGGACAGGCTATAGACCGGGGGACAGGCTATAGACCGGGGGACAGGCTATAGACCGGGGGACAGGCTATAGACCGGGGGACAGGCTATAGACCGGGGGACAGGCTATAGACCGGGGGACAGGCTATAGACCGGGGGACAGGCTATAGACCGGGGGACAGGCTATAGACCGGGGGACAGGCTATAGACCGGGGGACAGGCTATAGACCGGGGGACAGGCTATAGACCGGGGGACAGGCTATAGACCGGGGGACAGGCTATAGACCGGGGGACAGGCTATAGACCGGGGGACAGGCTATAGACGCGGGGACAGGCTATAGACCGGGGGACAGGCTATAGACCGGGGGACAGGCTATAGACCGGGGTGGACAGGCTATAGACCGGGGGACAGGCTATAGACCGGGGGACAGGCTATAGACCGGGGGACAGGCTATAGACCGGGGGACAGGCTATAGACCGGGGACAGGCTATAGACCGGGGGACAGGCTATAGCCGGGGGGACAGGCTATAGACCGGGGGACAGGCTATAGACCGGGGGACAGGCTATAGACGCGGGGACAGGCTATAGACCGGGGGACAGGCTATAGACCGGGGGACAGGCTATAGACCGGGGGACAGGCTATAGACCGGGGGACAGGCTATAGACCGGGGGACAGGCTATAGACCGGGGGACAGGCTATAGACCGGGGGACAGGCTATAGACCGGGGGACAGGCTATAGACCGGGGGACAGGCTATAGACCGGGGGACAGGCTATAGACCGGGGGACAGGCTATAGACCGGGGGGACAGGCTATAGACCGGGGGGACAGGCTATAGACCGGGGGACAGGCTATAGACCGGGGGACAGGCTATAGACCGGGGGACAGGCTATAGACCGGGGGACAGGCTATAGACCGGGGGACAGGCTATAGACCGGGGGACAGGCTATAGACCGGGGGACAGGCTATAGACCGGGGGACAGGCTATAGACCGGGGGACAGGCTATAGACCGGGGGACAGGCTATAGACCGGGGGACAGGCTATAGACCGGGGGACAGGCTATAGACCGGGGGACAGGCTATAGACCGGGGGACAGGCTATAGACCGGGGGACAGGCTATAGACCGGGGGACAGGCTATAGACCGGGGGACAGGCTATAGACCGGGGGACAGGCTATAGACCGGGGGACAGGCTATAGACCGGGGGACAGGCTATAGACCGGGGGACAGGCTATAGACCGGGGGACAGGCTATAGACCGGGGGACAGGCTATAGACCGGGGGACAGGCTATAGACCGGGGGACAGGCTATAGACCGGGGGACAGGCTATAGACCGGGGGACAGGCTATAGACCGGGGGACAGGCTATAGACCGGGGGGACAGGCTATAGACCCGGGGGACAGGCTATAGACCGGGGGACAGGCTATAGACCGGGGGACAGGCTATAGACCGGGGACAGGCTAGACCGGGGACAGGCTATAGACCGGGGGACAGGCTATAGACCGGGGGACAGGCTATAGACCGGGGGACAGGCTATAGACCGGGGGACAGGCTATAGACCGGGGGACAGGTGGGGGGTCTGTGCGGGTAGGGGGTCTTGGGTGGGGGTAGATGTGGGTGGCGAGGGTGGGTACGGGTGGGTGGGGGTAGATGGGGATGGGTGAGGGTGGGTGCGGTTCGGTAAGGGTAGAAGGTGATAGGCGGGCGTAGGGGGGTGTGGGTAGGGGTAGAAGGGGGTGGGTTGGGGTAGATGGGGGTTTGTGTGCGTAACAGGAGATGACAAGGGGTACATGGGGGGGGGGGGAGGGGGGAGGGGGGCGGGGAGGGGTTGGGTAGTTTGGGTGGGGAAATAAGCCTTTCAAACGCGCGTGTCATGCAAGAGCGGCGTTGCTTATTTTCCAGCGGGGTGAGACGGTTAGCCAAAGGCTGGTCCGTTGTTAGGGACGTTGTTAGACGGTTATTCATTTAGTTCATGCTGATGCTGGGAGGTTGTTCGTACCGACTCCATCTAGCCAAAAAAGGCTCCTCATCCCCCATCCACCCTTCACTCTCCCCCCTTCCCCATCTCCCCTTCCCCCTCCCTTTCCCCCCACATTCGAAGGGTAACGCCCTCTTTCCCCATTCCACACCCCCACAACCAACCACCTCCCCACCCTTCCCGTTTCGACGCTTACCAGGTCGATGGTGCTGGTGAATCTCAGCCCTTGGATCGCCTGCAGCACGATCTCCGCCACGTCAGCGATCGTCAGCTCCACGGACGAACGGCTGGATTCGCCGCAGTTGGGCAGATCGACGGCTACGGCGTGCAGCCCCCGAGCGGCAAAGCGCTTGAGCGCGGAGGAGAACATGGAGGAGGATTGCGGGGCGGCATGCAGGAGCAGCACGGACGGCATGCCTTGTCCGCATCTGCGCGTTGGGAAAGGTGGGGAAAAGGGTGTCGGGGGAAGGGGTGTAGAGGGGAGGACGAGCGTGGGACGGACAGGGAGGATGGGGGAAGGGAAGGGGGGAAAGGAAAGAGCAAGCTCAAGTGAGGACGACGAGGGGGAACGAGAAGCGCGGAGGAGGTTTGGGGGAGAGAGGGAGAGGGGTGTGGGGAGAGGGGAAGGGGAGCGAAGGGGGGGAAGGAGGGAGGGGGGATAAATGGTAACGGGGTTCACTAATTCTGAAAAAAGACCGGCGGAGAGAGAGGGGGGAAGGGGTGGGGAGGGGGAGGGATGTTGGAGGGGAGAAGGAGGGGAAGACTGCGGGGGTGAGTGGCTGCGGGAACGTCACGTTCAAAACCCTAGAGCGTCGGCGAGGTATCTACCTCATTGTCGCAATAGCGTATCTGCAATACCTGTAGCAGCAGTGGCGTAGCTGATGCCGTATTGACCTTCGAGTCGACTCAAAAGTCTATCTCATTGTCGCGATAGCGTCTCTGCACCGCCTGTAGCAGCAGCATACCTGATGCCGCATTCCTCCGCGTTACCTCTCCTGCGGCAGTTCTTTTTGACCGTAAAATGGAGATATATATTGAGTCGACTCAAAGGTCACTTCTTTAGCTTGCGTGCATAGTGTTTGTGGCCGTAATATGGGTTGACTTTTGATTCGACTCAGAAAATACCTTTATAGCTCACCTGCGGTAGTGTATCTAGCCGTATTCACAGCAATAGTGTGCTCTCAGTTAACTCACCTGCGAAAGTGTATCTGGCCGTAATCCGTGTCCACATAACCCTTAACGACGTCGAAACCTCTTGCGCTCCCCATCGGCTCTTCTCCGCCGTCTATGCCCAACGCCGACTCTCCGCCGTCGATGTACAACGCCGAGTTCTCGCCGTCGACGCTGACGGCGAATCTCCGCCGTCGATAGACGCACGCACACCGTCGATGAGGATTCACCAGCCAGCAAGCCAAGACCTTCGTCTGTACGCGCTACTATACGCGCTACTATACGCGCTACTATGCGGCAGCGGTTCGAGCTCGAACCTGGCGCCGCAAGACCCCGCGAACTGGGAGAAAATTGATACGATAGCGCGACCCGACCTTGGTAAAATATGGCGCGCCTTTCAGAATACTACAGAAGCTTCCGATCACGAGGTGACCTTTGAGTCGCTTAAAAGTCACCTCGATGATGACAATAGCGCGACCCAACTTTGATAAAGTTTGGGTGAGTCACAGAATACTATATAGATACGCCGGATAACCGTGGGTTAGTCTCAGCGTGACGCTACTACCTTGAGGGACGACAAGAAGATTGGCGACGAAACGCGGTCCGACCTACTGGAAAGAACAAGAAGGAAAAGGAAAATCTTTCTGAACGCGCGATCGCACTCCGCGATATTGTTGATCAGCAAAATCCGCTGCTTAGAAATGAAGGCCGAACGAATAGCGCCACTGTTCTTCGGCTCTAGCTACCGATGTGGCTGTCGAGTTGAGATTTCAGATTCTATGCACTTCGATGTGGCGTCGCTGTAACGGCTCGCTTCCCGTGCTGCTCTGAAATGCGGACATTATTCCGAGCGCGATCGGGTCGGACTAAGGCGTGGACTAGCTCTTGACTTCGCAATTTGGTGCTCTACGTCCTGCTAGTCGTGCGCGAGACTACTGTAAAATACAATGCAGGATGATTGCAAAATGTCCGACTTCTGAGCTGACTAATGGAGCTGAAAACTGCGTGAGTTCGGCAAATGGAGCACGAAACACGTTCGCTTCGCGCGTGGAAAAGGAGCTGCTGCTGCAATCGAGTAAGCAGTTGGAAATTGGTTCTTGAGTTGACTCAAAAGTCACCCCGTCGGAGACGGTGGTACAACCACGCGGTACACGTAAGCATTTTATTTGTTTGGATCGGGAGAAGGACATCAAAGGGCTGATTGCAACGAGGAACAGAGACAGGACAGCACCTATCCGCCGACGGGAAGGCAGGATACGCGGGAGCAATCATGCGAAGGATGCAGGTCGTTACGTTACACCGCAAATAAAGACGCTTGCAATCACGCTTCGAAATAAGAGCCAGGAGCATGCAAAGAGAAGCGTGGTCGAAAAGTTGGGACTGATGCGACATAAGCAGCAGCAAAGCAATCATCAGGTGGAGGAAGGAGGACGAGAAGGCGAGGCAAATGGATGAATGCAGCCTATTTCTGGTGGCTCCCGCTAACGAAACCACCACTTGTAAGGGCGCTTCACCTGTCGGTTCGAACAACACACTCGTTCGAACAGGCGAATTGTTACTCGTTTCGCCTATGTTCGTAGTGGTGATCGTGACGTCGCGAAGCACAATTTCGCCAATTTGAACAGAGCTGTCACCTCAAGCACGATTTTCATCATCCCGCACGTTCGAACACGTTTGTTCGAACAGGTTGGGATAGGTGACACACAATTCCGCACAAACGACTGATATGATTGGTCCACAGTCTTCCGGGTCGCCCATGAACGTTTGCGACCCAAGCGAGGAGACACACAAGCGAGGGACCCAATGTTTGGCGACGTCGCTCTTTTGTGGGCGACGTCGCTGTGTTCGAACAGACCGCGTGTGCGAATAGCGATGGCGTCACCTGTGATGGCCTGTGTCACATTCGCTCATTGTACGTATTTGTGTTAGAACTCATTTGGGATACTGTTCGTATAGTCAAACTGATACGTCGGTTCGGATTTTGGCCTTCCGCCCCTCAGGTGAAGCGCCCTAATGCTGCTGTTGGTCTGTGACTGTGACTGGGACAAAAATATCAGCCATCAGCCTTTACACTCAATGCCCAGTTGTTTGCACAAACGCCTTATTAATATACTAATATTTACGCCTTCATGATATTTAGCTAGCATTTGCACGCGCGTGATCGGCCGATTTGCAGTGCATTACATCCACACTGTTACAACCGTCGTTGCTGATTCTGAGCGAGCAACTCCCGATGTCGAGGGCAGCGTGACAATACACCAATTTCCGGAAAATCCCACTACGTTGTGAACGCCGAACTGTCAGTGAAAGATGAGGAGCACAAAACAAATGTGTATAAAAAGAATGATCAGGTGTATTCGAATAACGTCGTTTGCTTGATTGGTTTGGGACGTCGCACGCACAGCGTCTGATCCGTCATTTGCACAGGTGTATCCGCTGCTGAAATTCAAATTCGGGGCATAGAGTTACTTCTCTGACCGTAGAGCAATCATGAAGGGAAAGCAGCCGCCAGAAGCCAAAATCAGTAGGCAAGTTCGTGAAAGCTATGATATCGAGGGCAATATGCTGTAATGTTTTTTTTGCTTATATGAGCTATACCAGAACAGAAGTGTACAACACATAAACAGTCGTAACTGTGCGCGAGAAGCAGGAGACCTGCCTCAGAAAATCTGATCCTTACACATGGATCCGGGGCCTGTGTGGCTTGCCCCAAATTGCTGAAAAGCTGTTCGACCACCGCCAGCTCTTACCCTCCACTACCCGAATACGGCCCAGAAGCCGCTGCTCCTGAGTTGTCATTTCATGCCATCTGGCTTGCTGCTTCTTCCCCTTCTGCTGTAACTTCCTCGCAGACGCTCGCACGTACACATTCACATGCATGCGCAGAGCCGTTTCGATCCACCTCAGTACCCGCCTCGCGCGAAATTTACAGCCACGGAAAGCACCTTCGCACCTCTCCACCCACAGTTGGTGCAGAGCGATAGCTATCAGGGTCGCCTCCGGAAACTCTGACGTGGACCCTGCCTTCCCCAACAACCAATCCACGAGCGACTCCACCCGCCTGGTTGGGTTAATCATGCGTAGAGCTTTCTTCACCGCTGCAGCCACCACTTGAATCTTCGGGCACTCGAAAAAACAGTGCTCCAGGGTTTCGAAGTTGTCACAGTAAGGGCACACCGGCCTGTTGCTAAGAAATGTAAGCCTCTCCCCGACTTGCAGATTTAAGCTGTGGATTCTTAGTAGAACATCTCTCGGCCTGCTGGGGGTGACCAGCGATTCCCGAGTTTTTACTGCCCGCTTCCAATCGATGCGCCCGCCCCATCTGCTGTCCCACTTGCGTCGCCTGGCTTGTCCGCTGCTGCCATGCCCCCAGCGGGATCTGAGAGTTTTCAGCAGCGCAGCTTCCCCGTTCACCAGGAGTTTTGCACGCAATTGAGCTAAGCCTCCTCTGCCAGCCTCGTACATCTCCGCAAACTCTATCTGAGGCGGCTCAGCTGAGACAAGCACCTCTCTCCACGGTTCTGGTGCTGCTGCAAATGCCTTGAGCGCGAGCTTTGCAGTTTCTTTCCCCCGAAGCTCCCTATCCAAGGTGGTGAGGTCTTTCAGCACACCTCTCCCCGTCTCATCCTTCTTTATCGGGTCCCCCAGCCGGACGTCACGCAGCTGCTTAGCCGCCTTCTGTCCACCGATTGGCGTAGTCTGCTTCTTCCCGATAAGAATATGTTTGTTAAACACGATCCTTTCCAGCGTGACCTCCTCCTTGCTCCGTTCAATCCCAGTCACCACCAGCGGGTAGCGCATGAAGTTTTCACACGCGAGTTTCCAGCACTGACTCTTCCCCTCCCATGATTTCAGGAGCTTCTCATGCGCCAAGAAGGTGTCTAGCCCCAACGGTAAGTCTGCTGCCTGGCGCATCAGGTTTCGTTTAAGCTGGTCAGTTTCGGTTAGAATCAGCCCAATCCGTCTGGCCGTGAAGTGTGATAATGAACGAGAATGAATGCACTATGAAAGAGTTGGGTACAAGTACTAACCCTAATTGGGTTGTACCCCATATAGGCTACCCCAGTACAGCCTACACAAAAGCATAAGCTTTAATGCTCTGACACACCCCCATAGGCAAAGTGGGGGAGTACAAGGGGTCACAAGACCCGTCAAGCAAAGAAAAGCAAAGCAAGCTCAGGGTGGATCACAAAGTCACCACACATTCCGAGCACAAGGTCAAGGCCACAAGGCCAGATCACATGCAGGAGTACATATATATATAAAAGGCTAGACAAGCAAGAGCAGGTGTATATATATATATATGTAACAGTATAAGCAAGGTCAAGAGGTGAGCAAGTGAGGCAAGACATGCACAAGACCCAGCTGAGTACAGAAGCGCTGATGATCACAAGGCGCAAGCGCCTTGGTGAAGATATCAGCAGTGTTGGCCTCAGAGGCCACGTACGCAAGACGCAGCTGACCACGCTGCTGCAGCTCACGAGCAAAAAAGTAGCGGAGAGCAATGTGCTTCGTTCTGTGCTCCAGTCTCTGCTCTCGACACAAGGCCAGCATGGCCTTGTTGTCTACGTACAGCACTGGAGGAGAACGAGGCGGCTCTCCGAGGTCAGTCAGCAGGTAGGTGAGCCAGCGAAGCTCCTGTGCAGCCATGGCCCCGGCGTAGATCTCAGCCTCACAACTGGAGCCGAGAACAGAAGACGAGCGGGTAGCCCGCCACGAAACAGAGCCGGAACCAAGGCTGAAGGTGTAACCCTGTGACGACAGTTGCGTAGCCTGGTCGTCAGCCCAAGAAGCGTCTGCGTGCCCAGTGAGGACCACTGGACTCCGCCCTCCAAGCACAAGCCCCATGCCCGACGTACTGCACAAGTAGCGCAACACCCTCTTCGCTGCAGCCATGTGCTCCGGTCTGTGTCTCCCAGGAGCAACATAGCGTGTGAGAATGCTAAGAGGGTATGCAAGGTCAGGTCGAGTGCAGGTCATCAGGTACATGAGGCAGCCAACAAGCTCTGGGTACGGGCCACTCGACTCTACGAACTCATCCGAAGGCAGAGCTGAGAGCGAGTGGCGAGTAGGCAGAGGAGTGGCCTGAGGCGAGGAG